CCACCGGAAGTTGACTGGAATATATTTTACCGTCGGCTCACACCCCGTCCTCCACCCGTATACACTCCCTTTTTCCGGCCTCCTTCCTCCTCTCGACTATCTTTCTCTCTCTTTCTGAGAAGAAGTGGTGGAGACGCGAGAACAGGAAGCGCAAACTTGGCGGATTTTTTTATGGGGAAAATGGTGGAGGCCAACTTTGCCCTCCCTCTTAAGCTTAAGGGGAGAGAAAAGAGGGAACGTTGAATTCCTAGAGATTTGGTCCAACGTTTGGTGAGAACGTTTGAAGAGATATTCACGATATATATATATTTTCTCCCCGTGGAAAAGAAGGGAAATGATGTTCCAAAGATTCTTCCCGGAAAACGATAGAAATATTCCAACAATTCCCTTATTTTCAACTTGTTGCGATCGAGACAAATTCCGAATAAGGATCCAGTTTCGTTTACGAATTCCATTTACGCGGTTGAAGAATAAATAACAATAGGAATCCACAATAAGAAAGAAGATCGAGCTGCATTCGAAAACACCTTTTTATCTTGCCTCATTTCCATTCCATTTTTTTTTAAACAAACCGTTAACGCAACTGCGATAGGGAAATTAATTTTTCCATTATGTGTCCATGATACGAAAGTCGTAATATGTACTCGGACGAAGCGGAAGAATGGTGGAGAATGGTTTTTCGCGTACGCGGGGGATCGAGGCGACGTCGTTATTCATCTCACGTGTGAAAAGCGCGATAACATTGCCATGTTGCGGTGACGTATCGCCGCGACACAGATTATATTTAAATCGGTTGGACGTGTGTCGGGGTGCGGGTACTTATGGCAGCGGCGTCATAAGAAGGCGTCTTAAATATTTATGAAGCTGGAAAGATAGCGGTCCGCGCGATCGCGCGCCCGGTGTCGCCGTCTTATCTGACGTTTCACGTGCCTCTGCCCTCTCCCCTACCTCCCTTCCTCCCCCCTTCACTCGCCACCATCGCGCTCGTTTCAACGTTTCACGTTCGCAATTTGCCCACGATACACGCGTGTAACCGCGAACCGTATCGAGAAACTTTATTAGAGAAAATTTACGATCCCTCCTCCTACCTCCGCGCGTGGTTGCGCGTTTATCTGATCGAAGAGCAGAGAGGAACTCCAGTTTGTATTATTTATATTTCCTTTCCAGTAACGAAAGATTCTAGATGGTAAGCCAGTACGCACGCGAAAGAAAGAGTTATCGGAGTGATCTTGATGATCTTAGATTTCGAGTAGCTCGAGGAGGAAATTAGGTCAGCCACCTAATTCATAATTTCTTTTTGTGTCGAAACAGACGTTGCTATCAACGTTCCTCGTTTTGGATGTCTAGAGGAATTGGAGATTTTTCGACTCGTATCGATTCGCATTTTTTATTTAAAAATTATCCAAAATTCCGAAATCGGCGAAATTTTCGTTGAATCGTCCATGCAATTCGTATTTTTCGAGACTATCTGAGGAAAAAAAAGATCGATGGAGTCGTCTCGAGTCGAGACATTGAAATTGATATTTTAAAACTTGTTTAAGAAATTTGTTCAAACTAAAGGTTATCAATTTTTAATCGAGCAGAGTTCGTTTCCGCGCTCTCACGTCTCTCTCGAGATGTCAACGACTTGTATACCAGATCACCATATACCAGTGTACAATTTTCAACGATCTCCATCTCGATTCAATTCGATGACGCTTCCGATTCTCCCTATCTTCGATTCCTCGGTGTCTCCACCCCTTCGATTCGCACCTCCTCGAGGAGCCCTCTCGACGGCCAATCGAGACGGGGTTTGCTTGGCTCGAGGTGGCAAGAGGAGAGGCCGGTTATCCCTCACCGTATAAAAGGAGAATGTGTCCCTGTGGCGTGCTCCTTCCAAAAACGGGACGATTAATAACTTTTCAAATCTGTCCCCGGCAGGGTCGTGAGCCCGGCGGGGCCGGTTCGGTAGCGAGCGCGTTGGCAAATAAATAGCAGATAAATAAAAGCTCGCGTCTCTCCTACGTCGTGCATTCTGTCGCGGGGTTGCGTGTGCAGATGGCAACAATATGCCGTGAAATATTGCCCCCGGTTGGTCGTGTGCGGGGCCGTGCACGCGTGCGTGTGCGTGCCTCGTCCAATGGGGAAACAGTGTGTGCCTCGATGCGCACGGATCCTACGTGTCTCTCTCTCTCTCTCTATCTCTCTCCTTTCACCTTCCAGTCGAGACGAGACGCTGGAAGGAATCTTGGCGCAAGGGGAGATACGTCCTCTCTCCCTCGAGGGAAGTTCGAATAAGAAGAACTTGAAGAATTTCGCGTGTATATTGGTTTCAACGATTGAGAGGGATAAAGTTCTCGAGAATGAGAGAGAAATAATTATTAATCGCGTTCAATGCGAATGGAAACGTAGCACTTTTTTAATTACGAGACTGTACGATTCTATAGATCGATATTACTTTAAAATTCTTACTAAATCCTTTAAATTGCTGGTTCAATGAAAGAAAAGCTTCTCGATTGGAGAAATATTCGATCTCTTGTTGCTCGTGCAGAAGTGAAGCAACGGACCCGTTGGCGAAAGTGGATCGTGCGACAAGAGGGAAGAGCAAGCGTGCACAGGGGACACGCAGACGCGTATACATAAAGTGGAGATTCATGGTGCAGCATGGTTACGGTGTACCGTGGCCGGGGAGGAGGCATGGCCCCGAAGAGCAGTTCCCGAAGGGCACTGTAGGCACCGTGTTATGACTTTCAGAATGGGGAGGCACAATGGCCCAGATCCGCGCCGGATAAAATAGTTATTATAATCGTTTTGGCTACGGCCGGGATCGAAGCGAGCGGGAGAGTAGCCGAGCGTTGGAACGCGTATGCGTCTTCGATCCGTGGCTGCAACGTGGATGCAACGTGAATTTCACCCACGTCCCGAATCCGGATCGTCTCCAAAGAGAACAGTTCGAGATGTCGAGTGGATCAGAAGAATTGCGATCCCAATCTCGAACTTGCGAATACTCGAATCGAATTTGCGTTTGGAAAATTTCTTGTTGAACACGAAATGCGAGAGATTAATAGCGGACATTGTTAATATTTAACCGAGCAAATTGAATCGATCTTAAGGAATGTTCTCTCGTTCGAGAAATGAATATCTTAAGAAACTTGCTTACGTTTCCTTGCTACTCGAAGAAAAAAGCAAACACGTTTTTTTAGAAAGCGCAAACGAATCTCGAAATTTCAAGAGATTCGTGCACAAACCCCGTAAGATTTACTACTGCCGATACACTTCCGTCTCGGCAAGCAGGGAGAGCAAGCGGAGGAAGAGGCTTTTTCGTCGCCACGGTTCACACCTTGAAGAGTTTCTGGTATAAAAGGCAATCTAGAATTCCATCTTTCCTTGAATGCCTCTTAGTGGGAGACTCATTGAACTGCAGTTTTCGGAAAAATCTCTCGGAGTGATATATGGGCGTATATCCATTGTCCTTTTCAAACTCTCCTCCGTCTCCCTCTCTCTCTCTCTTTCTCTCGTTTCCCAGGGATAATGGATGATTTTTCGCGACCATTATACTGGAAGAGGACACCAGGTCCTGAGCGGGACATTGTTGCGAAGCACGGCAGAAAACCAAACTTTCCCCCTCTCCCTCTCTTCGTTTCGAAAATCTTTCGACCAGTCACTCTCTCTTTTTCTCCCTTCTCCTCGCTCCATTCCCCTCCCTCTCTATTATCGAAAGGTTCTCGGGTGGATAATTTTCTTGTTATACGTTCGGCATTAGTGAAAACCGAGAAATCATCCCTGCGTGTTGTATCGTCCGTTCCGGCCCGGAAGATAAGATCCCCGAAAAGTCGACGAGAGAGATCACACCGGGTCGATCTCGACGGCGGACGGATTAGGACGGTGAGATATTGGATCTAGATAAATCCAATGGGAGGCTCGCGTTTCGTAAATTGATTGCGCCTGTGGATCCCTTCTTTCTCCCCTCCTCGCCCTTTCTTTCTTCCTCCTTTCGAACACGGTGAATCGAAACTTCCTCCTCCTTCACGGCTGCGAACGATTTGATTTCTGTCCTCGTGGCAAAAGTCTCTCTCTCTCTCTGTCCGGATAGATGGAGAGATAAATGGAGAAGAGAGGGTTTTGATGATCGATGAGGCTTTTTTCCGTGGCCGGAATGAAAGCAGGATCGAGAAACGTGTCGCGATTTTAACGAAAGCCACGAAGAAACAAACCACTTTCGGAGGTCACTTTTCGCTTTTCACGGTTTAGAATTGGAATCGAATCGAGGAAGATCGGATGATCGAGAGGACGGCCGAAAATGGAAGCGCGGCTGTGCTCGTTGCATCACGATTCCGTTTACGATCATCTCTCGAATCGCATTCAGCGTGCTTCACCTGAACTTCTCTCCGTGTTTTTTTCTCTTCCATTCCAGTTCGTGGAAGGACACGTGTCGCAAGATTTCAAGTGGCATTTGAAACGCTTCTATGGATGTTGGTTGCCTGACGAGTTCTACTCGGCCGGAGACGTTATCGATCAACACCGTGGAAAAATGTGGACATTATTTTTCGTCGAATTGCGTATAAATTGGAAAAATTGATAACAATTCAATTTATCGTTGATAGATCGGTTTTTATTACGCTCTGTCGTGAACAAATATTTGGAGAATTCGCTTGATTCAAAAACAATATCGATCCAATTAATTTGTCGTACGAAAATTTCAACTTGAAAAAATTTTTCAAAGTTTTTCCAAATAACTTATATATCAATACAATGTATCAGTTTAAATCAATATCCAATCTCGTTTTGAAATAATGATAAATAAATATTTGGAAGATTCGCTCACGTAAGTCAAAAATACTACACGATAATTTAGTATCGATCCAATTAATTTCAAGATTGGAAAGATTTTCGAAAGTTTTGTATATCGATTCTCAATCTTCGAGATCTATAACAGTTTAAAGGAGTGTAACGATAAACCTCATCTTGAAACAGCGCAAATGTAACCTCACGAATTAACGTCGAAAGAAATATTCCAAGATCGATCTACGGGTTAGCGTCTTACTTCTTCATCCGTCGTGTCTTGCGACAACCTCTTTATCTCTTAGAAAGATAAGAAATCGGGGGATCCGAGGCGCGATTTTTTCCAATCCGTTCCGAGACCGATCGACAAACAGGATAAAGCCTAGGACCCCGGTAACGCATCGCTCTGAGGAATGATTCTTTATCTTATCTCGACAACATCTGTAGCTGGTGTTTCGGCGCTACAATTCCCGACAGAGGAACTCTCTAGGCCCGGCGTATCATGGCGAAAGCTGCGCGTTTTCGGGAACAGAGGACGGGCAAACACTCGAATTACCTCGGTGGTGAAACATCTGTCGATGGCGTCCTCCCTTTCAGAGGCAACATGGTGGAATGATCGGCGCATCAACCGGTAGTTACGTTTACCCACGGATTTGCGGTTCTTTTTTTTTCTCTTTTTTTTTTTTTCGCCCGCCTTTTCCCCTATCCCCAC